TTTTATAAATGAGATATTCTTTGTCATATGTCTTCCTTGATATGTTTTTTGGTTTTAAAATTTTTTTTTACCATTTATTCATTTTTGAGAGAGAGAGTGAGAGTGCGAACAGGGGAGAGGCAGAGAGAGAGAGGGAGACACAGAATCCAAAGCAACTTGCAGGCTCTGAGCTGTCAGCACAGAGCTTGACACAGGGCTCAAACCCACGAGTGGTGAGATCATGACCTGAGCCGAAATCAGATGCTTAACCGACTGAGCCACCCAGTCACCCAAGTGTCATGTATCTTCTAACTAGATGTTTGAATATGTAAAGGATATTGACTTTTGTATATTAAATTTTATGTTGTGTTAGCTTTCTGATGTATTAGTTCTGTTATTGAGTATGTTACTTTTAGCAGTGATTCTTTTGAATTTTCTTGTTACAAAGTTATATTATCTGAAAAACAGTTGTACTTCTTTTCTAGTTCTTAAGAATGTTTGCAAGCTCTGCACAATTTTATGTTAAATTTGGCTAGAAAGAACCCTACCTTCTAAAACCATAATACATTTTATTTCATTTTTCCTAGCCAAAAGTAATCAAAGCATAACTCTTTCTGCCTTATATAGAGATTCTTGATGATTTCCAAAACTCAGAAAGGATGCATAGTTATATTGTTGCCAGAAGCAAATGGCTCCTAAAAAGGGTCATGAAAGGGAGAATCAAGGTTCTCCTGTGCCTAGCACAGTGCCTTGTGCTTAGTGGGTAACCCATAAACGCTTGGTGATGATACATAATACTGCTGGGTATATATTCTGGCTTGAGAATTTGGCACATATTCCTACCTTTTTTTGCTTTTGCAAGAAATCTCATCATCTGTGTTCTTTTTTTTCCTTTGATCATAGTCTTGAGTTGAAGGTACATAGACTGTAGGAAAACTATAAAATACGTAATTCTGCTGTTCAAGTCAGTCAACTACAATGAGATAAATGTCATATTCTAGCTTTCTACAAAATAAAATACCTAACCATCTCCCAAAAAGCATAAAATGTTTGCCATTATCGTCTCTAGAGTGTGTAACGTCTGGAAAATTAGGAAATATTTCAAGTAACACATTTCAGTTTTACAGTAAGTTTAGACACATGACCAAAGGAAGTAGTAAATTAACATTTTTGAAAGCAGTCCTAGAAGATTAACTCAAATATTCTGATAACTAATGCACACAGTTAAATATGTATTACAGCATATGAACTCAGTAGCTATGGCATAGATTCCATTTATTCAGTTCAAGAATTGAGGGCCTTCTAGCTGTTAAGCATTTGGACTATGCACTGTAGATGCAAAGATGAATAAGATCAGGACAGGGCCTTGCTACAAGGGCCCAATGCGCCAAGGGATCTGAAGGGTTTGTGACTCACACACGTAGGTTTCAGGCATGCTACTGCTACTCATTGGTTGTGTGACTCTGAGAATGCTACCCATCTTCTAATTTACTTTCTAGAAGCCACTACTGTGGAAACCTAAAGAAAAAAATCATAAAAGCAGCCAAAGGAAAAAATGCATGACATTCAGAGAATAACAGTAAGAATTGATGGCTTTGTTCCCATAAGAAGCTATGGGACAAAATCAGTAAATTCCTAAAAGACAGTGGCTATCTACCTAGATTTCAATACACATCAAATTAGCCTTCATACATGAATGCCTGCTAGTCTTTTCAGAAAAAAAAAAAAAAAAAAAAAAACAGTCATCCACAGAGTTACACCATGAGAGAGTCTACAAGTTTCATCAGTCTAAAGGAAAATGATCTCAGATGAACACTTGGATCTGCAGGAAGGAATGAAAACACTGGAAAGGATCAGTATCTGTGTAAATAGAAAAAGCTGATTTTTCATTCTTAAATACTACTGACTGTTTAAAACAGTATCCTGACATAATGTTTTGGAGTTTATAATATGTGGAGGTAAAATATAACAGTAACATAAAGAGTGGAAGAGTAAATGGAGTAATACTGTTTTTAGATATATTGTTGGTAAAGTAGAAAATCATAATTCAGGGTATACCGTAATAAATTAGATATATATATTACAATCTCTAGGCACTAAAAAAATACTAAGATGTATAGCTAACAATATAGCTATTGGGGATATAAAATTAATAGTAAAAGTATTCGATTATTTCAAAAGAGTATGGAGAAAAGAGGAAGAAATGAACAGAAATAGATGCAATAAAATAGCAAGATGGCAGACTTAAACACAGCCACATCAGTAATTGTGTTAAATGTAAATAAACATCAAAAAGCAGAGATTGTCAGACTGGATAATCTAGTGGTAAATATCTATTGACAGATTAATTTTTTTATTTGGTAGATTGATTTACTCTACAGATGTAATATTCTTAAATTCATTGTGAGGTATTCTGATTTTTAAAATACACCTTAGTAAGTTGGAACTTTTAACCATATTACTGCATGATTAATATATTTAGTGAACAAAAATTTAATTTAGAATAAGCACAATTGTAGTTTCATTTTTTTATTGTTTCCCAGAAAGTTAAATGTATTAGTTAATCTCCAGAGACACAGAACCAATAGAATGTGTATATAGATTGATTTATTTTGAGGAATTGGTTTATACAGTTGTGCAAGCTGGCAGGTCCAAAACCTCCACGGTTAGTTGGCAGCCTGGAGACTCAAGGAAGAGTTGTAGTTCAAGTCCAAAAGTAGTCTGTTGGTAAAATTTTTTCTGTTTCCGAGGAAGTCATTCTTTTTCTAAAAGCCTTCAACCAATTGAATGAAGCCCACTTACATTATGGAGAGCAGTCTCCTTTACTCAGAGGCTGCTGATTTAAGTATTCATTTTATCCAAAAAATACCTTTACAGAAACATCTGGAATGTTTGACCTGATATGCGGGACTGTGGCCTAGCCAAGCTGACACACAAAAATCACCAGCACAGCAGTCAATTTATTATGAGCTTTCACTTATCATCATACCTTAATAAAAGTGAAATAACCTACAAATAGAGTTGTTTTTTTTTGGTAGCATTAGTAAGCTGTTTGGGAACATTTTTTCTTAAGCCCAACTTGTGTATATTCATTACTTAAACTTTGAACAAACATGTATTAATTGTATTTCCAATTCTTATTATTTCAGTTGGCAATCTAAATTTAAAACTAAGGTTATATCTTTGGATAATCCACTTTAAAAAAATTTAGTTTCCACCACCTTCTTATCCTGAAATTGAAACTGTAAAATACATAGTTGTTTTTTTCTTTGTAATTGTATAAGCTAACGATAGAGATTTAGTTTTTTATTTTCAACATTTGGAAGTTACTTTCTAATTGGATAAGAATTTTAAAATTAGTAAGCAGACTAGGTCAGTTTTGTAGGAATCAGATTACAGTAGTGAGAACACACATGTAAGATGTTGCCTATTCCTGAGCCTCATGGTGGGACTACTCTCACTTAAAAGCCAGTGTGTCCTGCCCAACTTCTCAGTGGATGCAGCCAGAAAGGGCGTGGGGAGTGTGGGCCCTGGGGAAGTGGGGATTTCACCATTTGTTCTATACACTTCAGTATTACTAAAATCTCACAGTAAGAATCAACATTATCTGAACATTTTCTAATATGTTTACTTGGGGTTTTTAAAAAATTTTTTTTCAAGACCAGTGTTACTCTATGAATAAAAATGTGTCTTTCCATAAAAATTACTTTAAAGATTTTGTTACTATTCTTAAGACAAAACTTGTAATTTGTTCGGTAGTATTTTTTTTTTTCAAAAAAAAAAAGGATATCTCTGTTTTACTCAAGTCTTGAGGTCAGAAATTATAATTTATCCTTTATAATTTATCTTTTATCACTGATACCAAATAGCCACTCAGTGAATATTAGTTGATTATGTGAGGTAGTAAGTATAGTGCTTTATATTTCATTGACTAATAATAGCTGATTTTTTAAAATGAAACAAAAACCATGTTTTTTTTTTAAATGGTGTTTCATGGTACTTTGTTCATTTTTAATATATTCTTGCACATTGATAAAAAGTGATTGTTTTATGATGCTCTCACATAATCCCTTATTGTACTTGAAGAAGACTGAAGTTAAATGCCTGTAAATGGGAGGAGTTATTGTTTGTTTCAACCAGAAATTGTGCTAATTACTCCTAACAATACTTCTAGTTCTCACTTCTAAGCAGCCTTGCATGTGAAAGCCTGTATCATTATTTGAAGCAACTAGAACTATTCTAATGTCCTAACTCACATGTTGGTTTGCTGATAGACAGAGATTATAAAGTAAATGAGACCTGCACCTGTGTTCATTTTTAACTTGAGCTAGACTTTGAACCAGTATCTTTACAGATGAGATACAATGTATTATATCCTCAAAAGCTGTTTATTACAAAGAAATGCAGTAGAGGATATTCGGAACAAAAAGATAATTCCACACATGATAAAAGAATTTTTCTCAAGTTTAGCAGTCAATATTATCATTTTAAAGGAGAGATTCAGGGGGACCTTTTTTTTTTCCAGACACTCCATGGTGATTGAATAAATAGAATATGGCATAGTAGGAAGTCAAATGATCAAAGAGAAATTCAAGTAGATTTATTTATTCTTTTTGAGAAAATAAGGAAGTGATTCCTTTTATAGCCTTTGTGATATTTCTTTATGAAAACTTGATGACCTCAAGTCAGAAATAAAACTTTAATGGAAGAACTGCAGCAGAGTGGAGATAATGGTATAATTTTTGAGCCAAGAGCAGGATATGGACACATCTTACACTGTTTCTAAACACCATTTGAATGGGAAAATGGGCTCAGCTTACTTTGAGTTGGGTCTCTTAGTTAACTAAACTCTCCAACTGTTTCTGACCAAAGAATTCATGATAGAACTTTAAAGGATCCTGCCATTCAAATGAGACTTTTTTCTTGTAAGCTATAGAAGTCACCTCTTACTGAGATAAATGTTTTCACAATAAAATGGATAGGTATAATAAGCAAATATCTACCATCTTTTCTTTTCACAGGGATTATCAACATAGAAAGAAAGCCTTGTAACCATCATATAGATACAGCACCAACGGTAAGGCAGTCTATTTCTGCATTGTTAAAACTGATAAGCTACAAAATGGAACTGGTTATCGTGACACAAAATACCATTGTAGAAAATTCTTGTAACCTCCCTTTTGCCAAAAGTTATATCCTTTCAAGGAAACTAACCTCATGTTTTCTAACTTAATGAGAAAAACATAGTAATTTTTGCCAAGATATGGGAAAATAAGATATGATATCATTTTTACAGGTACTTGTTTATGTTAACTTGTATAGAATACATGTTATGTATGTTATGTTAACTTGTAAATAGAATGATTTTTAATTTAAAAATATTTATATTTTAATAAGTTAATATAAATCTCCATGAAAATTGATTTACATTCTTTTTTAATTGTTGTGTACACTAGCATCGTTATTTAGAGTGAATATTTTTTAATAGTGAAAGAAGGCCGTCATGTTTCATTTATCTTATGGATTACTATGCTTATTTATTATAGAAGTGAAAACTTTTATCCCTCTTCTATTACTGCCAGACAACAAAAGCCATTTAACAATTGTAACACCTATTCACTATGTTAAAGATAATTAGATAAGATAATGTAGAAGGCAAACAATTAAATTTCCCATCTATTCTCTGAATATTTGAATGAAATATGTATCAGTGGCCAGTTCCAATTTGAAAGATTCATAAAATAAAACAGACTAGAATATATCTCACTCTTCACTAAGCATAATGTTGTTTCTCTTATCCTTTCTGTATATTAAATCATTCAAATACTCTATACAGTTCATCATTTCCTGTTAGAAACATTCGGTAATGCCTTTTTTATGAAAATAAAGACAATATTAAACTATATTTGAATTTTATTGATACTGTTTTCCTCACTGGCAGATTGACTCCATTTTCCATTTGTAATAAATTCACATGATTGAGTCAGCCTGTTTGATAGCTTACTCTGTGGGGCTCTGGAAAAGAGTGGTGTTTGAGGAATTAAACACCACTGTAATCATAAAAGTATTTGACTTTTGTGTGTGTTGCAGTTATACTTTAGTAAGTAAACTAAAATAGGAGTCATAACATGTAAACTCTATTCTTTTATATTAAAAAACAAAAGACTAGCAATTATGAGAAAATATTTTCTCTCGTGTAGGTCTTAAAACTTGAGGTGTCTGATGTGGGATTTGAACCCTTCACTCCTTGAGGAGACACTCCAGGTTTTACTTTCTCTCCCTGTTGTGGGTCACTGCACTGGGGTGGGGGTTTGTGGCAAGGTTGTATCTCAGGCTGTCCTACAGGCTTCCATGTGGTTTTCTTCTTGTGAGCCTGTGGGGTAGTCATCATCTAGCCAGCCTTTTGGTTTTTTAAGAGGAAATTTTTTCATACGTAGCTGCAGACTCAGTGTGTTAATGGGAGTTAATCCCATGTTAATGTGTTAGTGTGTTAATCCCATGTTACCGTCTTGAACTGGAACCCCTTAATGTATTTGAAAAGGATATTCACTGGATTATTTTACATACTTTTGAAATCCGGTTTATTCCTATAGGCGTTTCTACAGCACCTGTGTTTACATTTCTGGTTTTGTTGAGGTTTTCTTTGGTACATTCTAGAACTCAGAAAAGTGTAACCTAGCATTTTTTTGTTTGTTTTACCCTGTAGCCTGATTGTAAATTTCCACATCAATTAAATGATGAACGAATAAAACTGACTTCTCATGAAATTATGAGAAATAATGGCATTAATGTTTACAATAGTGCCCTATTGTCAGAATTTTGGAGTCAGAATGACTCCAAAGAACCAAATAAAATCTAATACATAAGGGTTTAGGTATTGTTGGTCTTTTGTTTGTTTTGTCAGTTGGATTATTAAATGATAGCTCCTTATACATTAATAACATTTCCAGTATATAAAGCCGTAAGGTTTAATATGCTGAGTTTATATAGGCACACCCCAAACACGCATTAGTTATCCAGGCTCTCACTTGAGCCAAGCTGCATTTTGGTAGGTTTTCTGAGCTCCTTCTCTCTCTCTTTACTACAAACTCCTTAGTTTACTAGTTTACTTAGTTTACTACTGCCCCTCATTCCTTTATAGTCCCCTAGCTATGTTGACAGCTAACTTTGACCTTTTCTCCATAACCTCTAAATAGAATCACACATCTGTTCATTCTTCTGGTCCCCAGGACAGGAAAAGTCTGATTTTCACAGATATAGTATTACCTAATTTCCATCCTTTGTATGTGGGTCCCCTTGCTTTCCTTAAAGGATTTAAGGGAAGAAAATATTTAGAGATAAAAGAAATAGGAACAAGTCTGTCTAAAAACTTAACAAAGTAGGATATTTATAAGTTCAAACCTGGTACTACCCTAGCCCAAAAAGGAGAGATACTGCGTGGTCCTGAGAAAAGATAAGAAGGGAGTGGCCCAGGGTTCCAGAATGGCTGAGGCCAGGTCCCTGAGTGACTTTCTGGACCTCGTTCCTAACCACCAGGCTCCAGGTCACCTCTCTGCACATTATCACCCCCACTTCCTTGTTGCTCCAAGTACCACCGCAGATGGTTTGGGTCTCGGAGAGTGCTAGATGCTAATTACAGCAGTTCAGCAGGTGAGGGAAATGAGACTTTTTCAAGCCTCTATCAAAAGCTGTGTTTCTTGACATTCCAAATCAGAATTAACTTTTCAGTAAATCTATGGTTACGGGGCATAGTTTGATACTGTGGTGCTCTAATGTGATGCAGCGTTCTTGATGTAAGTATAGGTTAGCCTAAGAACAAAACCACCTTTTTGTTGTGTTCTCTCCCACTCTCTTTTTAACTTGTTTCCTTTTTCTCCGTCATTTAATACGTGAGCTTTAATTTTTTTGTTTGACATAAATAATACCTGTGAGTTTCTGAGATGCTTTCAATAGAAGTAAAACAGAATATCCCCACATGGCATGACCTTATCCATTAAAGAGAATCAAACCTCACCACTCACTTTTTTTGTTTTTTGGGGTGGGGTTTTTTTGGGGTTTTTTTTGCGTTTTGAGCTCTTAATTTTGTTCGTATCTAAGAGAATATTTTCAAGTTATTTTTTTTTCAAGAAATATAAAATGAGAGGTGTATTATCTGAGTATCTGAGTCTACATATTTTAAAATACCTCAGTTGTCGGGGCGCCTGGGTGGCTTAGTCGGTTAAGCGTCCGACTTTCGCTTAGGTCATGATCTCGCGGTTCGTGGGTTCGAGCCCCGCGTCGGGCTCTGTGCTGACTGCCAGCTCAGAGCCTGGAACCTGTTTCCGAGTCTGTGACTCCCTTTCTCTCTGACCCTCCCCTGCTCACGCTGTCTCTCTCTCTCTCTCTCTCCTAGAAATAAATAAAACATTTAAAAAGTTAAAAAAAAAAATTAAAAAAAAAAAATAGTGTACTGTTGTCAACATCCATGCAAGTGTATACAGTGACTTCATGCAAAAAAAGATTCCATTGAGCCAATAGATAGCAGTGATTCTGTTAGTAATAGTGAAAGNGGGTTCGAGCCCCGCGTCGGGCTCTGTGCTGACTGCCAGCTCAGAGCCTGGAGCCTGTTTCAGTCTGTGACTCTCTCTCTCTCTGACCCTCCCCTGCTCACGCTGTCTCTCTCTCTCTCTCTCCTAGAAATAAATAAAAACCTTAAAAAAAATAATAATAAAATAAAATAAAATACCTCAGTTGTCTTTGAATAAGACAGTTTACTAGTGTTTTTTAATTATTTGGACATAAACTTTTCCCCACAGAACATTATGGAAATTGATCCTTTTTCACCGTCTGGTAATTACTGTTTTGGAATAATAATTAGTATTATTCTTTTATTTATTCTTTTATGTCCCAGTTCAGATTTGATGGTTAAATGTGTGGGTTTCTTTTTGTCCTGAATGGTATTTACTCAAACACTTTATTATTATAGGAAAAGCAAATAAGACATTAGACAGTCATGATACTAGGTTGTATGGAAATAATTAGATCATGCCACTTTAAGAACGAGTTGCTGTTAAGGATAATATCAGACTCAGATTAATCAGAGGTCATTGTCTGAACCCTGAAAGGCAGGTGTAAAAGTTAGTTAATAGTTAAGTAAGCATAGGCTTGAATCTCATATTTACTTGAATGAAGGACTCATTTGTAAATCAGAGAAAAATCACAACTAGCATAAGGAAGTCTCTGTATATGTTTGGTCTTATTTAGATTATTACAAACCTGCCCATAACCTACTATATGCATAGAAGTTCCCATAGCTTTGTATGTTTTCTGGTGGAATTAAAACATGGCAAGCCATGCTGAATATATACAGAGTTTTTAGTGATTTGAGAAGAATTATTTTTGAATATGTTAAAAATTTGAACCTCAGCATGGCCTATTGTATTAATTGCTGATTTCTATAAAGCTCCTGCATTCCAACCCTGTAACACAGTCAGTACTACTCCTTTCTTCTTCTTTTATTCAGTGATCCCACAGACTACATTAATGAGAACAAATTTTCATTTAACAAATGGATTTTCTGGCAGTTTATATAATTACAGCTTTCATCAGCCACAGCAGGTTGAAACGAAATCTAGGCTACCTCAATAAGATTATACCAGTTATGGGATATTTCTGCCATCATCTAAATATTTCATTAATTATTAGGAATTAAAATATTCTAGGTTGATTGGAAACTTAAATGTTCATTCATTATTCTTCATTTTATAAGTTGAATTTAACAAATTTTTAATTTATTCATTCTGCAATTACGCTTCTAGGTTTTCTAACAGCTTTATTGATAAGATTTTGTCATGTAATTTTTCATCAGTAGTAAATTTTAATATGTTTAACAGTATTTTACTATTCTGAAAATACATCTGAGATGTTCATGATGTTGCTTACCCTTTACACTTATTTGAAAAGGTATTGATCTGAATCCTACAAATTAAAATTTATTCTAAGACTCTTTTGGGTTGTATGATAATCTGTCCTTAGTCTACAACATTTTTTTCAAGTTTATTTATTCTGAAAGAAGTAAAGAGGGCATGAGTGAGGGGA